CTAAGTAGCACGAAACTAAGTCTCTTCAACATCTAATATTCCAATTCAATAACTACATAATTGTATTTAATAATTACATTCAACAAAAATAATTATATAAGTAAGCTAAAAGCAGCACGTTTTCTTATATGTCAAGTTACACGAAGAATATATTTCAAAATTATTATTCCGTAGCAAAAGTAATCAATTATAACGATTAATTGTTATTTACAAATAATGAAAAATGAGATGAGTGAATAAGTAAACATCATGATAGGTTCCACAGGGTAAAAAGGCACTACTTGCATTATACACAGAACAAAGGCAGTACAGTTTGCAAACTATTTTTGTTAAGAAGCGTGATCAATGACATAGTTTGTAAGTTTTGATAATAAAAGATGTTTTGTAGTCGCAATTTAACAAATGCCTATTACCTAAGTACGGGAGTATATAATAAGGTTTATTAAAGGATTTCCACACATTAGTTTAGCTAAAAAAAAAGAAAATGATGGGACAAAGCCTTGTCTTGCTTGCATTACACAGTGCAATGGCAAAATACCTGATCTAACTTGAGGGTGGCTTGGGTGGATTTAAAAAGATAAATGCTTACAAACATCGGCTCGTTATTTTCTTTCCTTCTAACATACAGGTTGGCAAACTTTTGTATCTAATCCTTTAGACGGATTTTCGAAAACTTGTAGGTACAGGCATATCATTTACGATGTAACAGGAGAGAAGTCACAATTAAAACCTAAATGCTTAAAAAAAAATATGGATTCAAATCAGGTACTCCAGGCGTCAAGACGACTCGGGTAGCTAGTAAACCTCTTTTCGTTAAATTTCCGGCGATATATCTTTGCCAAACTAATTTTTCAAACATTTATAAAATCAGCTAGAGCGAACCTTTACACCCTACCTCATGAAGGCGAAGCATAGCCGGAGCTATTTTCTGTGAAACCTTTCTTCTCAGAATCACCCGTTGAAGTCTTTACTCCTTTGCTTCTTCCTCGCTTGTCATACAAATGGTAAAAAATAATTTATCTTCCGAGCGATTCTTCTTGAAAAGAAATTAATTCTAATCACTTTGAAGGATGCTATTCCAGCCACCCAGCCTTGGTGATTGGCTTTCAAGGACTCAAGTAGGATACAACTCCATGCAGCTCCAACTGGTAATTTTGACATATGCCGTTATGCTAGATGTTGTTTAAAAACGGTAAAATAACCATTTATAATACCCTCTAATTTAACCCATAACAACTCAGCGCTATTTTAAGAATCTATTGTACAGCCGTCAAAAAATCACACCTAGATAATTAAGTCATACAAAACGCAGTACACCGAAAATTTCAGCTTAGCCCGGAAACAGATTCACACGTGCGATAGGAAAATAGTTTCAGACAATAGAAAATTATTTATAAAAATTTGGTGCTGGTGCTGACATTAAATAACACACTTCCTGCTATTTGCGCCGATGTAATCATTTTGTCTCTTAACAATTCACCAAAATGTGGAATACCTACTATTGCTAGCTGAACCTGCAATTACTACATTATTTAAAAAGTTCTGAATGAAGCAGTTTTGATGTTACCTTTATTATCATTATTACAAATATTACCATGGGCGGTCTTGGGGTTAGAATATTCTGAGGAGTTGAGGCAGATTAAGCCTGTGAAGAAAAACGATATAGATATTAAATTGTGGATATTTTTATTTTACCTAACATGCCTAACATGCGACAAAGTATTGTAATTACGAAAAACTTCCAACATGAGGTACTGTGTTTTTTGGATGTTATATACCATCTACATCACGACAAGCCATGTCACCCATCTCTGTCGGACGGCTTGTCTGACTGTTTGTCCGCTAATCCTTGACGCCTTTATAACATGAAAGCGCAGATGGGATTTTGATGCAACCTTTGCACAAGATCTTTTTATACCCTAAAACGAAGGAGCTTTGTGTGCTTTGAGAATCAATCGAGTTTTTTGACATTTAGAAGACTAGTGTTTATTCTGAAAAAATATCTATCGGTTGAACTATAGATAGTGAGGGGTTGTAAATGTTGCATCTTTGGCAACAGTAGAATAAGTTATATTAGCGTTTGAAACTGGTAAAATCACCCATCACTTAGATATAATAGCCATACATATGTTAAATAAAAACGCTGGTATTAACTACTAAGTTCACCGCTAGATGACACCAGTAGATTGACTCGCCTTGACGGAAAATTTACAGGTACGGGCATACATTTGTGAAGGCCGCTTTCTCATCAAAAGCTGGCCAGAGCGTAGGGCGTCTAGCGAATATTTTATCACGGTAGTGGATGCCGGTGGCTGCCGTACTACGCGAGGCTAGCCATAGCAACCTTCGTGCACTCGTACGAATTTGTCTCGGGAGGAGGCCAAGGATACGATTCTGTGAAGGCGTACTTGCCTTTATGGAGATCGGAGGATACCTTATTTTTCAAAGCAAAGCAAGCTAAATATTCAAATTATGATTCTTTGTGCCCGTATGACTGACTTGATCCAATTAATATTTTGTCATACATGCATGTAGGTAAGTTTATTTTCAGAGCGGCTAGCTTGACGCTACTCCCGATAGATTCGGTTGGTTTTTGCAGCAAGGGACTCTACGTAAAACTGTTTACCAACCGGCTATCAAAATTTGTATTCATCTTGTGGTCCATTAATAATATCCACAAAGAAACCAGTGGCGTGCTTAATTGAGACGAGAAAAACTCAGTTAGCCTTAACGTTTGGGATAACTCAGTTGCATACAGCCAATACAAACTAAGTACCTTAATACCTACCGTCGATTCACATTCACCCAAGTACCTTAAGATAAAATAAAAATAGCAATATTAGTAGAAACGAACGTGAACACTCTGTATTTCAGTAAAGAAGCCGTAAAATTCATAAGTTGACATGAACCTCTTGTTATGTTCAATGAGATGATACAAACCTTAACACTCACATTCATAAATACAAAAATTCAGTCGACTCGAGCATTTCATTATATATAAAATCTAATGTAATTCTGGTCACAATGGGATAAGATGCTTTGGATAACCTGGAATCTTCCTGAATCGGCTTGGATATTCTTGGATTACCTCAGATCTCTTTCAACTGCCTCAACACCTTGAAATTTGTTAAGCTATCTTAAATCTCATCTCACCAGATGATTCCTATTCCTTGAGCACAGCCTGCGCGGAAGATGCTTCAATGTCGACAAACCTGCTGACTTTTCAAGCTTCTATACCAGGAAAAATGACTCTATAAGTCGAAAAGCATGCACTTTGATTGTTCTTTTTGTTTGAACAACAGCTAATGGCGAATCATACTGAACTAAATTAAATTTGGTATTAGTATGTATTCCTCAAAGGAGGCATCCTCGTAATAATTAAGTATCATTAAGCGCTCCTACTGCCTTCGAAGTGGTTGACGGTAGACTAATGAAATGATAATCCTGATGAAATATAAACAAAATTAGATGGAGAGGAACATCTTGTATCCACAATATTCAGCTTGCCGTGACAGCGCTCCAGGCAATTAAGATACTGTGCGTTTGTGACGTAATTATTCAGATGGCACTTCAAAGTATGGAGAGAGGTAGCGACTGATAACATATTGTTGAGCGAATTGCATAGAGGAACAATCAACTGCCAATAATGATCAATAAGTACGCATATCATAACGTATATAGAAAATTTTATTGTCTTGGTTTCAGAAAATTTCAATACTAAAGAGAGGAATTAAATGTATAAGTCACATTTGCTATTCAAACTTCCTAGCTATTGCAAATTGTGAAATGTTTTAATATGAGGTGGTAAGATCTTATAATAAAGATATAGGGTACTGAGAGGATCGCTTAAAAATACAGTACCTATGTTGCTATAAGCACTGTACAGCTGGAACGTAATCTCGAACGATCTAAAAGTTGCTGAGTCAGATTATAGGTCAAATTTTTTGCTATATGAGCAGCAACTACGTGCGATATTAGTGGTAACCATAGTATGGTTACCACTATAGTTTATACTCTTTTAAAAATTGTCTCGTTTTTTTCCTTAGATAGTTCCTAAGATTTATATGGTATTTTATGAAAAACTCAATGTTTTTCGATATTACTTCATTTCCATCAGAAAAAAGTTACACAAGTATATAGGAAGTGATTGTATGAGTCTTGAGGGGCGTTAACACGTTCCTACAAAATTTGGAGGAAATTTACTGTGTCGTGTTTAAAATATTGGTACAGCTGGAACATCATCTGGACCGATGTTCAAGTTGGGGATTCAGATTACAGGTCTAATGTTTCGCTATATGAGCAGCAACTACGTGCGATATAAGTGGTAACCAATAAATAAACTTTATACCACTTAAAAATTTCCATCGCCTCGTAAATCACCTGGCTGGCCCAGAAGATAAACTTCCTTTTCAAATTCGCCCACCCGCAAACTACGTGTCTAGGAACTGATGAACCTTTGCCGCATAATGTCTGAACAGGCACCATATTTGAACGTCATGTTATGTGGAACTGCCAGCAGAACTTCTTCCAGCAACGTGTTCTCTAGAGAATGGAACGTTTTTTGTTTTTTTATAAAAATAAACACATCTTGAGCTGAATATTGAATATGTGACTATGCCCACAAAGAGGCATGATGCTAATTAATTAGCAAAATAGATTGAATGCGCCACTTTTAGTTTTTTAGGCATTTTAATTTAAAAGTCATCAACTTGGTTTCATCAACATCTTATATAATGATGGTTAGAAGTGAAAATATGTTTCGTCAACTCAAAATTCCAGGCCCGGAATCACTTGTATTTATTTTCATGTGTCTTATTAAGTTAACGCCCTGTAATTTATACTATTACTTCATTATTATTTCCCAGTAAAAGGGGCAATTCATGAAGTTAGTAGAAGGGGAAACTAATGCACTGTATTTAGTTTTTTGAATTTTTAATGTACTAACCCTAAAAACTGATGTAACATAATAACGTGAGTAATACGGCTTTCCTTTATCCACAGGCGCCCAAACATGGACAGTAGTTTCGTATTTGGCAACTCCTCAGCATGTTGCAGGCCTAGTCTTAGGCAGTGGGTGAAACGTGACTTGTTGCTCGCTGGGATTCTCTATCATTATATAAATGCAAATATATCACATATGGTGTTCGTTTTGCTTTATATCCAGATTACCAACGCTGATGCTTTCGGAGATATTTCGTTAAAAGTGAGTATAAAATATAAAGAATCACTATCAGCAGCTGTACTTGAGATGTATTGTGACTATTGTGGGAGATGCAAAAGTTCAGGAGACTTTGTCACAAGTCACAAAGTGCTACAGTTTGTGAACATATCGGCAGTATGTGTTGGTAGATTATTCAAAATTGGATATCTGGATCAAGCCTCTTCATAATCCTTGTAGTTGGCACCGTTATATCAAGTACGAAATACTTTTTTTTGTATTAAATTATACATGGTAATATCGGCAGGGTATAGTCATGAAGCCCTGAGCTTTATGAAGCAAAATTCTGCCCATCTAGGACGACAAATTAAAGGCATAGAACTGAGCAAACTAATTAAAAGTGACTAGCTTATTTACAAAGAATTATGAATTGCATTAGGTTTTCTGTATTGTTTTAGGATCATCAAGAAGCTATTCAATGAAGTGAGACACCTGTGTTTTGCAACACACAACATGAATTTGGAATAAATCTATCTATATGTTCAGGTAATACAATTTTTATACCATTGTCAACAGCATATGATTATTTTTTGAAACTAAATATATTTTGTGCTAGGTAGTGTTGGATTCTATTTTTATGAATATATCTCGCGGTTCTCGTAGGCGTGACCAGAATGTGTGCATGCTGCATTCACACGTGTTCCCTCGCTAGAGTCCGTTTGGCGCCCCCCCTTCTCCCTTGCATGTATTCCCCTATAGCCCCACGGTGCCCCTTGGATGTTTAGGTCTTAGGCCTTTGTGGTAGCTGGAGGATAAAACAGAATATGTTCATATAATAATTCTTCAATATCGGAAATACAATTTTCAGCAGATTTCAAGTTGAACAAACGAAATCCCCGGCCCTTTCCCAGCATTCCGTATTCCAGGCGCATACACGCACTCTTTAGATAGTTCCTCCAGAACTCCAGGCAAGTAGGCGGCGCAACCATTTGACAAACGTCAACCGTGTTACCAGCGTTTAACATGCAGCTCCCACTTCTTCAGCCTTATGTGTTTTGCGGTCTCAGGTAGAACAACAATCGAAATGGGCTTTAAAGGGAAACGGCATTTGGTATGCAAATGCACTGAATTTGATTCTCCATTCCAAATAAAAGTCATGATGAAACTGTAGAAAAACCTAATATACAGGTCCGGAGTCAGCACCTTTAGCATAGTTACGTTCACGTGCTTTCACCACAAACCTATATTAGATTTAGTTACATAAGGCACACACACATCACGCAACTAAATGCCAAGTCTAGACCTGAATACTACCTTTGCCCTTTCAAGTTGATCTGCAAGGTCCATTTTGTTGTAATTGCATATTAAATTCCGTTTCTTTTTGAGCAGAACATATTTTGTTGCACAAAATATCAGTTGGTTGAAATAAATCATTAAAAACTTCACAGAGAAAGGTAAATAGGATGCATATTAACAATAATAAAATGTCTTTATTAGGCACATCATAAAACTACAATATAATGTGACCTCTACGTAGGCAAAGTCTAGCTCTTTGCTGCTCTACTTAACCTACCCAAATAATAAATTGAAACATCACCTAACCAAACGAAAATTTGGCAAGCAGCTAAAGAACTTGATAGCTAGCATACATACGTACACATATGTACTTATATATATACATATATATTACGTACATGAAAAATAAAATAAAAAATAAGTATATAAAATATAATGGTAATTGAAAACTAACTTTGCCACAATCACTACAATGACAAATAAAACTGCTTATGAAATCTGTTTACTGGCCAATCCTTCATATTGTCATCTAAATCGTTATAAATCATGATAGCATTGCAAGTGTTTTTTATATAGGATCTCTAGTCTTTTTTTTTGTGTCTGAAATCAATGCCTGCATTACTTCGTCTGACAACAAATTTCTCATAAAGATACAAGGGAAAGCGAGAAGATATGATCTTATGTGTAAACACTGCCATATGGGACTTCATGCATTTTCTATACACATCCAACCAAGCTGAAATCTCTTTAAGGACACATGCTCATACTTCTTGAGAATAAATACAAATCGACAACAGGTATTTTGGAGTTTTTGGAGTCCTGTTTTTGAGATGAAGACAATGATAGTGCTACAGTAATATAAGCTAGGAAATATAATAGCCTCACGTAACTTTTTTCTAACTTTAAAATTCAAAATAGAGCGATTTACATAAAAACACTTGAAAGTTGCATAACATTTTCTTAAGATAGGCGAAACATGCTCATTGAACCGTAAAGTATAATCAATAATCAACCCTAAATTTTTTGTAGTATTTACGACTGTTAGATACTGCTCATCGATTTTTACATCAAGAGAATTCAATAAAGTATTTGACACCAGGATAAAAAACTTAAGCTTGTTACCATTTGAGTATCCTACTCTTGCCTCCAAATCATCATTAAGCTCATTGATTGAAGTATGTAAAGTGTTACCATTAAAGCTCTTGTATATCTGTGTATCATCGGCATAGCACATCACAGAAGAGTTTTTCACAAAGCTACCCAAATCTATAGTATAACTAAAGTACACCAGAGGCCCTAAAAGTGAACCCTTAGGGACACCTGAGGTTATATTAATCGGACTGGATATAGCTTTATCTATCTCTACTACTTGTTTACGATTTGAAAAATATGTTATAAAAAAACATTAGAGGTATGTCTGAAAAACTAAAAAACTTCAATTTAGCACATAAAAGCTCATGATCTATTCTATCGAACGCCGAATGATACAAGTGCCGAAGCATCTCCCTCATCAAGCGAAACAATGATGTCATCTAAAACCTTTGCTAAAGCTGTAGTTGTACTAAAACCACTGCGAAAATTAGATTGACACTTTGGAAAGAAATCATTATTAGAGACATAATGATAAACCTGACGTTTAATCAATTTCTCCAATATCTTAGATATAACAGGAATCAAAGTTATAGGTCTTAAGTATGCGAGACTCCTTGGATTGTTAAATTCATTCAACGGCTTGACGGGAGAGTCTCCAAGCATCAAGGAAATACCCAGCCTCCAGGCAACAGTCAATAAATCCGTCAGGGGTAGTAGTACTCGAGGCAAGCAATGCTTCAGCATTGAGACTGTTATACCATCCGAACCTGCTGCATTAGATTTTAGGGACAGAATCATGTCTAGCACATTTTGTGGGGTAGCAAAACTGAAATCCAATCTAGCACTTTCATTAATTTTGGAACTATTACATTTATCGACTAGATTCTTGCAATTGCCTGAAGGCGTGAAAACGGAAGAAAAATAATTGTTTACTCAATCGGCATTTTTGAACTGCATAGGTACAGATTTATCTACATTAGTTTTGAGTTTCAATAAATGTACAGCTTTCCAGAGATGCTTGTTACTATGTAGACATGCTGCTTTCTCACGCCTAATAGCGGAAATGGCGTCATTTCTTAATTTCTGGTAATATTCGAGTCTAGCTGGCCTTTTTAACCCATTTATGCCTAAAGAGTTGCAAAAAAGTTTTTTTTATTATGTTTTAAAAAACCTTATTAAAAGACGACACTTTGGAGGTATTTTCAATTTATTCTACAAAAAATACATAAACAGTTTTTTAGGATGTACTATACATAGTACATTAGGAATAAAGGTAGCTAGCTATAAGTAAGCTATTATGTTCAAAATTTCGTCATCAAAAGAACTAAAAAATATCTCGGTTGGGGACTGCCCTTGTTCATTTTGATTTTCGTTGTTTATTGGAAACGCATACTGATTTCTTGGCAAATCTTCTTTTACGTAATTATATGTTTTCTCCTTTTTCACATTTTCCGATTATTACCCCTGATTTCACTGAGTGGTATTTCATCATCTGAACTCCACATATCCTCGTTTTGATTCTTATTTACTTCCACCTCAGCTTGCATTAAGCTTCCTGGCAAGTTGTTGATATCCAGTCTTTCTTCGTCTCCAGAATCCTCGTCGGTTATGTTACCGCATGCATTAGTGGGAGGTAACAAAGTGATAGACTCTTCTTCAATGTCGTCATCTTCTATCATTGCTAGCGCCTCATGCAAAGAAAAATCCCTGAAACAAATGTTGCTTCTCAAAATAATTACTTATTCAAAAATAATTTACCAAAAACCATTTTATTTTTGTTTTGACTATGAATATATTCGTAGACCCCTTTTTTCCTTATGTACTAAATATAGTACACCTAACTTTATCATAACCTCACAAACAAAGCACAAATGAAACACATCATAAAATCTAGAAGCCGGAACTGAGGAAATAATATTTTCATAAAAATAAAGTAGTTTTTTCATTTTATGTCATAAAAACCTACTTACTTTGCAACGCGCACGCCATATTCATTCATCTTCTATTTTCCAATATACCAAAACTGATTTCACATAAAAATATTGCACAATACGCAAAATTACTCCGTACGAGATCCACCCGCAAACTGTCACCCCGAGCTATTCAATTTAACTAAATCGTACAGATATCTACAGGAATAAACAAGTTTAGGCTGTACTATTCATAGTACATTAGGCATAAATGGGTTAAAATCTGATACTAACATAACATCAGTTTCATTCATTTTATTTATTTATATCATTTTTTTTTGTACAAAATAATGAGATCAGGGTATAACTTACAGGGCGCTGCACTTAATAAAAGAAAAAGAAATAAGAAACTGAATCCCGCTCTGGAGTTTTTAGTCCCCAGAACATCCTCAGTTCAATTCTATGCATTATTTTGTGACATGTTGAGCGTTTTGCAACATGATTTGAGAATAAATGAAAATTTTTAAATAAAAAACCACAGGAGGAGTATCAATCTAACTTAATTAACAACATTCACTATCTTTTTTTGGTAGAAAGTCAAACACCTGTTTGACTGACTTAAAAGGTGTTGATTTATAGAGAATACAGAAAACTTGGAAAAATCGAGTCCAAACCTTGACTTTTTCCATCCGTCTAGTTTTACGTTACTCCTAAGTAACTTGATTATTCTGCAAAATTCCTTATTTTCATTTATTAGTACGGAACACCTTGTATACACTTGATTTCAGTTGTAAGGGAGATCTGTCGCCGAACTTGGTTATCTGCAAAGGATATTTCTACTCATCTTACAGGAAACAGCGTTCAATCAGATTGGTTATAATTTACAATTCTGATACGTTCAGCTTCAGTGATTCCCAATAAAAGGTTATAGATCGGGACAAAGTCTGTTTATGGCTACTTTCTGAATTCTTATATCGAAATTAGATACCACACAAAATGCAGTACATAGTATCAAATGATGACCTCGTGATAGAGAATAAGACTGGTGCCGTATTTTCTTTCTTTTGCTGGATCTGGGCACTTATTCGTTTTAACGAATCCATACAAAGCCTGCTCTTATACTATTTAAAGCTACTCTGCTACGCCCATGAAAACTTCCACGCATAAAAAACCTCGATGTTAGGATAAACGTATCCCGATTTCATTGTATCGTGAATCAGATAAGTAATTAGTTTTTGGTGAATTCCACCGGAATTACAGTATTTTTCGGCAGCTTATC